AAAAAGGGGGAAAAACCAAAGGAAAAAAAAACAATGAAGGAAAGAACGGAAGAAGATTGGGCAAAAATAATAATAAAAAAGGAGAAAATAAGAAGAAGTAAAACCCAAGAAATTAAAAATAAGAAAAATAAACAGGTCAACGAAAAAAAGGGGATGTTTTGTCCCTAACATAGACAGAATGAGGAAAAAAAAACACATGAAAAAACAAGAAAAAAACTAGAAATTTCAGTAATTTTTTCCCCTTGACTCCCCACAGCAGTCTTGTCGGCTCCCTTCACTTATCGCTGACTTGTTTCTGGTCAAGGTTTGCATCACTTTATCACTTGATTCACCGTTTCCCCATTCCCCAGAATTTCATTTCCCAAACCCTTTCCCCTACACCCCCACTTTTGAAAAAGCCCCCCAACAAGCGTCTAATTTTTTTCCTAAATGCACCCGGGTCCTGGCAGCCCCCAATAATAGGGTTGCCCTTTTTCAAATGTCTTTTCAAGTGTGTGCAAGGAAAGGAAAAAACACATTAAAAAAGAATTATCTTCTTTTTCTTCTTAATTTTCACGGCTATATACTCGGGTGGAAAATTTGGGATTCACCCATTCGGTTTTGGTCTTGTTCCGAATTTGATTTTTGCATGCAACCCCTTTTTACAGTTTTGGCACTTTGTGTGCAGACTGGGGTTCCTCATGGGGGGAGATGCCCTCGCCCCCAAAAAAACACCCTAATTAGGCGCCTTTTACTGAAATGAGACACAAATAGATGAAGATATCCAAGAGAAACCTGAGCTGAAACACGGATGAGAGTGACTAAATGTACTGGACTCTATCCATGATATCGGCTGTAAACTCTGGCGGAAAGTTCTAGGTGTTCGTCTACCTGAGGACTTTAGTCTTGTTCCAGAACCTGAGCGTTGTGTGCAGATCAGCTCCACATACTTGGCTTATTTGCATGCAGACTCTTGGTTCCTTGCCTCTCAGGCTAATGTACTCCGATTTAGAAGGATACCTTCAATTAGCCAACTCTGATGGGATGCTGGTTGTGGAGGCAGTGGTTCTATTCCAGTACTCCCCACAATGTACTCTGATTTAGAAGGATACCTTAAATTAGCCGACTCTGACGAGATGCTGGTTGTGGAGGCAGTGGTTCTATTCTAGTACTCCCCACAATGTACTCTGATTTAGAAGGATACCTTCAATTAGCCGACTCTGATGAGATGCTGGTTGTGGAGGCAGTGGTTCTATTCCAGTACTCCCCACAATGTACTCTGATTTAGAAGGATACCTTCAATTAGCCGACTCTGACGAGATGCTGGTTGTGGAGGCAGTGGTTCTATTCTAGTACTCCCCACAATGTACTCTGATTTAGAAGGATACCTTCAATTAGCCGACTCTGATGAGATGCTGGTTGTGGAGACAGTGGTTCTATTCCAGTACTCCCCACAATGTACTCTGATTTAGAAGGATACCTTCAATTAGCCGACTCTGACGAGATGCTGGTTGTGGAGGCAGTGGTTCTATTCTAGTACTCCCCACAATGTACTCTGATTTAGAAGGATACCTTCAATTAGCCGACTCTGATGAGATGCTGGTTGTGGAGGCAGTGTGTTCTATTCCAGTACTCCCCACAATGTACTCTGATTTAGAAGGATACCTTCAAATTAGCCGACTCTGACGAGATGCTGGTTGTGGAGGCAGTTGTTCTATTCTAGTACTCCCCACAATGTACTCTGATTTAGAAGGATACCTTCAATTAGCCGACTCTGATGAGATGCTGAATGTACTCTGATTTAGAAGGATACCTTCATATAGCCAACTCTGATGAGATGCTGGTTGTGGAGGCAGGCAGTGGTCTATTCTAGTACTCCCACACAATGTACTCTGATTTAGAAGGATACCTTCAATTAGCCAACTCTGATGAGATGCTGGTTGTGGAGGCAGTGGTTCTATTCCAGTACTCCCCCACAATGTACTCTGATTTAGAAGGATACCTTCAATTAGCCAACTCTGATGAGATGCTGGTTGTGGAGGCAGTGGTTCTATTCTAGTACTCCCCACAATGTACTCTGATTTAGAAGGATACCTTCAATTAGCCAACTCTGATGAGATGCTGGTTTTGGAGGCAGTGGTTCTATTCCAGTACTCCCCACAATGTACTCTGATTTAGAAGGATAACTTCAATTAGCCAACTTTGATGAGATGCTGGTTGTGGAGGCAGTGGTTCTATTCCAGTACTCCCCACAATGTACTCTGATTTAGAAGGATACCTTCAATTAGCCAACTCTGACGAGAGATGCTGGTTGTGGAGGCAGTGGTTCTATTCTAGTACTCCCCACAATGTACTCTGATTTAGAAGGATACCTTCAATTAGCCAACTCTGATGAGATGCTGGTTGTGGAGGCAGTGGTTCTATTCCAGTACTCCCCACAATGTACTCTGATTTAGAAGGATACCTTCAATTAGCCAACTCTGATGAGATGCTGGTTGTGGAGGCAGTGGTTCTATTCTAGTACTCCCCACAATGTACTCTGATTTAGAAGGATACCTTCAATTAGCCAACTCTGATGAGATGCTGGTTGTGGAGGCAGTGGTTCTATTCCAGTACTCCCCACAATGTACTCTGATTTAGAAGGATACCTTCAATTAGCCAACTCTGACGAGATGCTGGTTGTGGAGGCAGTGGTTCTATTCTAGTACTCCCCACAAGTGTACTATGATTTAGAAGGATACCTTCAATTAGCCAACTCTGATGAGATGCTGGTTGTGGAGGCAGGTGGTTTATCTCCAGTACTACCCAAAAACGTTACTCTTATTAGCAGGGTGACTCTGATGAGAATGCTGGTCCCTTGTGGAGAGCAGTGGTTCTATTCCAGTACTCCCCACAATGTACTCTGATTTAGAAGGATACCTTCAATTAGCCGACTACTGACGAGATGCTTGTGGAGGCAGTGGTTCTATTCCAGTACTCCCCACAATGTACTCTGATTTAGAAGGATACCTTCAAAGCCAACTCTGACGAGATGCCGGTTGTGGAGGCAGTGGTTCTATTCCAGTACTCCCCACAATGCGGCCAGGAACCCACACAATAACCAAACCCAACAACAACAATGTTACTTAACGGGAGGCCTGGTCTGTCAAATGCTCCCATGGCAATCTAAACCAGTACCTCTGTCCCAAAACATTCTGGCCAATGGATGTTTTAAAACGGTTTTAAAGTTGTGAAGCTACGGCATTTCTAGTATACGCTAAAATATGTGGTATCTGGAAAATTGCAAGGGTTAACTGACTTGGCAGTCAGTAATTTAAAGTTCTTTGCACATATGTGAAATCACTCAAAGTATAGCGAAGTACATCACTCATACATCATAAAAAATCACTCACAGTATACCATGCTACAGCAAATAACCCATACATAACTTCATCATCACAGCATATCACTCATACATGACTTTAGGCAATCTTCTTAACCCTTTGAAAATAAAGTTTGTTCGTTCGTTCATTCATCACAGCACATAACTCCTACATGGCTTTACCACAATCATCAAAGCATATAACTCATACATGGCTTTACCACAATCATCCCAGCACATAACTCATACATGGCTTTACCACAATCATCACAGCACATAACTCATACATGGCTTTACCACAATCATCAAAGCATATAACTCATACATGACTTTACCAAAATCATCGCAGCACATCTCATACATGGCTTTACCACAATCATCCCAGCACATAACTCATACATGGCTTTACCACAATCATCACAGCACATAACTCATACATGGCTTTACCACAATCATCAAAGCATATAACTCATACATGGCTTTACCACAATCATCGCAGCACATAACTCATACATGGCTTTACCACAATCATCCCAGCACATAACTCATACATGGCTTTACCACAATCATCACAGCACATAACTCAAACATGGCTTTACCACAATCATCAAAGCATTTAACTTATACATGGCTTTACCACAATCATCCCAGCACATAACTCATACATGGCTTTACCACAATCATCCCAGCACATAACTCATACATGGTTTTACCACAATCATCACAGCACATAACTCAAACATGGCTTTACCACAATTATCATAGCATATCACTCATGCATGAGGTTACCGCGAACATCCCAGGACATAACTCATACATGGCTTTACAACAAACATTGCAGCACATCATGAATAAAAAGTTAATGGCAGACAGACTCACTTCCTTAGGGACAACAACATCTTCAAAGGTGATTCCTCTCGTGTCCGAACACCTCTGACCCATGTTCCTCTCCTGTATTTGATACAAGAGGATATTTTTCATGTTAGTAAACACAATCAACAAGAAACAAATCTAATCTTCTTCTTTACATTCACCGGCTGTGTAAAGCAGAAAGTTCTGGTTGTTTGGCCACTTCTGGACTTTAGTCTTCTCATGTGCATTCCAGAGCCCCACATTTTGGAGAAAAATGAACAGACCCACAACCACCCTAACAAGCATGTCCTAAAAGTGAACTAATTAGGGGTGTTCCCTTTAAAGTTGAAGTGTATCTGCTGGACAAGTGAGGAACCAACAGTCTGCATACTGGCTATTTGTCTGATTCTGGACTTTGGTCTCGTTTTTATAACTTGAGTTTGGATGCACATCCATTTTACATATATGGTTTATTTGTGTACAGGCTGCTGGTTCCTCGCTTCTCATAAAGATGCACTCCAACTAACAAACTGACTTTCATGGCATGCTTGTTAGAGGGGAGTGGGTCTATTCTCACCCCTCTCCCTACAATGGGGTCCTGGAACCCACAAGGGATACCACATATACAACTTGTATAAAAGAAGGACCAAAAATAGTACAGACCAAACTCTTCCCATTATGAGTGTTTGCAGTAAGTAATAAGATGGGTTAAAATACCACATACCTAATGTCTCTGGTAACCAAAAAGGCAAGAGGGAATGTTATACCTCTTCTTCTTCTTCCTCGTGTTCACCAGCTGTACACTCTGGCGGAAAGTTCTGGTTGCTCGCCTATTACTGAACTGCAGTCCCGCTCCAGAACCTGAGTGTTGTGTGTGCATCAGTTTTACAGATCTCATTCTCTTGAATACAGACTGTTGGTTCCTTGCCTCTCCGGCAGATGCACTCCAACTTCAAAGGAAGCTCCCCAATTAGTCGACTCTTACGACATCCTTTTGGGGAGGCAGTGGGTCTATTCTTGTTTTCCCCACAATGGGGCCCCAGAACCCACACGGGGGGAATGTTATACTGATTACTGATTTAAGAACTGACATCATAGCACACCGGGCATACCCATAGATGCTCTGTCTGCCCATTTTAGGCTGGGTCGACCAGCGACGCCCCATACCACGATAAAAATCCACGCAGCCAGCAGTGGGTTTCGATCGCGGTACGTTGGAATTACGAGTTGGACTCGCAACGCCTAAGCCACGGATGCTGAACATACATGCGTAATAACATATATATATATACATAACATACACGCCTGCAAGCCCACGTGGGAATGCACATATACTTATCTGCATACACACATATGTATATACACACATACACTCAAATGTCTAAGGAAAAACCCTGAAAGTTGCTGAAAAAGGCCAAAAGTGCTAGACTGAAAAATCCACGATATTTAGAGAACAGCAAAGGATAGAACAGAACAGAGGACCAGACTTTAAGCCATATGTGATGCACAAGGTCACCACAGGAAGATTATGATGATGATGATGACTTTACCTTTCTTCCCAGGATAATGCCAGGGGAATGTGCATCTACAATAAACCCAGTGAAGGCTTTGCCCGCAGGTGTCTGAGGGTCACTGCTGGTTCTAGCCAAAACGAAATACCAGTTGGCCACCCCTCCATTGGTGATCCACATCTTCTGACCGTTAAGGACGTATTCATCTCCTTTCTTTTCTGCCTTGGTTCGGATGGCTGCAACATCGGAGCCTGCGCTTGGTTCTGTGACACAGTATGCCTGGAGACATGCAAGAGAGGTAATTCAATGATACTGTTGCAGGAATAACACAGTGATAGACCTTCGCAAAAATTAAATATACCTGATGTGATCACAACAATTAGGTTTAAAAATCCATAAGGAAAAGAATGAGAATAAACCATGTAAATAGTAATCTGGTTTCTCTCAATGGTATCCCTCTCCATAATGTGGAGTCATACACCTTCTTGGGCAGTAATGTAGGTAAAGATGGGGGAACTGTCAGAGTTATTAAAATACAAATACAAAAGGCAAGAGGAGCTTTGACAGTGCTAGGAAATGTGTGAAGATCAAAAGAAATTATACAAAACTTATATTTTTTTATTCTAATGTCAAATCAGTACTGTACATTAAATATACTATACTGTGCCAGAAATGGACAATAAAAACAGGACCCATTTTTTTGCCAGTGGCAGACTGGGCATATGATGCCAAACTCATATTTGTATAGACCAACTAGAACTTGGTGGGTGATTTGATCAAGTTGTGTTATGGGTCATCCTGGAAACTATGGCCCATTTAACAATAAAATTAAAGAAAAAAAAAATAATAAAAGACCCACCTGGAAGACTAGACAATAGTCAGCAGGCACATCTGTAGCTGCAAAATTATTATTGTTCCCTATTTTTACAGACCTACTAAAAATGGACCTTAATGATAAAACAATGCTGTATACTTACACACATGAGTGGCTCTTCAATCATCCTTCCAAGATACTTCTTCTGCTGCTCTTTGGTGCCAGCTATGATTACTGGCATTTCCTGCAGATAAAAGAGGCACATTCATCAAATCCTTAAATCTCTAAACAGTCTTCAAGTACATTGGGTATACTCTAATAACTCTTTAGTTTTATAGATAATCTGTAACTCGATGATGTCATGAACATCATGCTGACCACCTTTACTTCCCAGGACATTACCTGGTACCCATTTTTAGGCAGGGTCAATTTCGGTGAACATTTAATTTTAAACATTCCGTCTCAGTGGGGATACAAACTTACGACCACCATGCCAGCAAGCGTGTTAATCACTAGGCTACAGTAGTTATCTGTCTGCAATTCACTGATGATAACCTGAACTAAAGGGGATAACAGCCAAGTCAATTCAACATCTAAACAGATAACACAGGGACAAACAAATGAGTTCTTCCTTATGAGACTTCCGGTCAAAATGGACACCAGGCAGGGGCACAGTTCAGAGCCGAGGCACATTTTTTGCTTCTGCCGGACGGTGGCCGATGCATTTTTGCTCCATTTGTAGACTGGATATAGTTTCGTCACCCAGCTTCTGAGCTGAATGCATGGTGTGACACTGTGAGCTGCGGATTTCAATTTTTGACTGTGACCAATGTGGTGGTGTGAATTGTATTTCCAGAAAATGTCACAATGTTGGTGGTGCTCGTATGTGATTAAAATTTATCGCGTGGGCAAATGCTGATCTGTTGGTGACTTCTGCTACCATCAATGATGAACTGGATTTCTAATGTCGGACTGTTTGTGTTAGCACTTCCGATGGCTACCGTATGCTTTAATGCGTGTGTATGCTAGATATGCACAGGAGCGGAGCAAAGATAGGGTGACCTGTTTGCTATAAAGCTGAAACTAAGACTAAGAGACAAAACAAATGAGTGAATGAAAGAGAGATGAAACCAGACAATACAACAAGGACATGATGTACAAACCCCGAGGGAGTTAGCTTCAATGGCTGTCTGCACACCTGTACAACCATAAGCAATTTCTTCTGTTACAATACAGCATTCCTGCAGGCCAAGGTTGAGGCCACCTGTAACAAGATGAACACTGAAAAAGTCAACAAATGAAGGGCAGACACAAGTTTTAGATCACAAATAACAAACATAAAATAAATCCTTATTGTCACGATCATTCCCCGTATGGGTCCCACAGTGCAGGACATAAGAGCAGACTAACTGCTCCTTAACGTGCATCTCGCAAGAGGCAAACATTAAGGATTTGCAAAAAGTTGGATATATTGGGTTGAAAGGGGCAAATATCATAGCCTAGCATCTCCGTGGGGGTTTCAGGTGGAGATGGGGGTGGGGGGAGGGGGGTTACAGTAGAACTGGTCTAGGAGAATCCTAGCACTTTACCGCAGGCCGTAACTAGCAAACTACAATTAGCACTGATGGCAATCCCCCACCCCCTTCTTCCCCAATCTGCTTTAGTCATAATTAATTGAATAGGTTTTGAATGCAGAGCAGGAGCTATTGATGTTAATGCAGACGTGATACCATCTACACTAGAAACAACTCCCTCCCCCGGCAAAAAACAAAAAATACAAAAAAAAAACACACACACACAAAATAAGGATGACAAATCTCACTGGATTTACGTGCACAATGTTCACAGATGGAAAGAGACATACAGACAGGCAGTCAGACAGATAGGGAAGCAGGTAGGCATTGTGACTGTCAGCCAGGCAAACACCCTCCCCCCCCCCCCCCCCCCCCTTTCCCCCTCCAACCAAAAAAAAAAAAAACCCAGACATGTAAATGAAAAAGAGCAAGCCACAAATTAAAAAAAAAGTCATTTTAAAAATCACTAAATTGTTCTCAAAGACAAGTGCAGCAGGCAGATAATCACGAATTCAGCCAGGCAAACATGCAGGTAGACGACAGACACACAGGTATACAGATAGACATGAAATAAACACAAACAGGCAAACAACATAATAGACAGACTAATCAAATAAGCAGAGGGAGCGAGAGAGACTAGATAACAACTCACCACAATGCTGGGGTATGTGAGTGTTCATCAATCCCAGGGACCAAGCTGTCTTCACCAGATCCCAGGGATACTGCAATACAGGGCAGTGCCAAAAATCATGTTACATTTTAAGAATAATTAAGAGACACACATGAAACATGTTATAACATAGACTAAAAAATAAAGGACCCTTCAGATGTACTGGGTATGGATATCTAGGCTTATATTTTATAAACCGATCAGCACATGGTGGATGATATAATCAGCGTTATGTCAGCTGCCTTTATTTCCCATGACATTACCTGACACCCATTTTAGGCTGGGTTGATCTCGGAGCCAAGGCCATTTAAAAACAAATCTGGCTTGATGCAGATTTAAACCTTCAATCTTTGGGCCTGAGGGAAGTGTCTACCCGCTGCACCACACCGGCTTCCCGAGACATATTATAGTATAAATATAAATATGATACAGATCATGAGACATGCTTCAATACAAATCAGATACATCGTCAGATCTGCAACAGTATGAGTATAAGACAGATTACACTATAGAAAATATTCATAAATGAAACAGCAAAATGTGATATCATGCTACAGGATTGATCTATACTGAGATACAATGTCACATAACATATTTTTGACAGGATTTGATGGTTTGAACAATGGATCAACACCATGGCACAAGAGTAATAACCCCTAAGTATTCTGTTCTACTTCTAACTCAAACCTGAGTCTGAAGAATCTCAGCGCAGTGCACAAATTCCATAGTATCAGCGAGGATCCTGAAATACTTAAGGTAGATTTTAAACACCAAATTTGGCTTCATCAGGACCCGAACCAACGATCTACCGATCCACAGGCGAGCATCTAGTCGCTACATCATGGTGGCTCTTAAAAGAATTATCAATGGTAGAAAAGAAAAGAGACACTATTGAGTAGCTCTATAATTTTAATGTAGAATAGCAGCAATAATAAGTGAATACAGAAAAGGATAGATTATAATAAGTGATTGATTCACCTCTCCTGAAAGGTCATATTCCGGAGCCTTGGGAATGATTTCTTCTCTTGCAAACTTGCGCGCTGTTTGCTGGAACTCCAACTGTTCTGGAGACAGCTCTGAGGGGACAAAATGGGGGTGCCTTTAATCAGAGAATGAGTCAGAAACACACACAAGTGGTGAACACAGTGACATGCTGTAGTTCATTCAGTCTGCAGGCTGTATTCCTCTGTTTGGCAACAGGGCTATTGTACCAGTGTGGACATAAGTATGCATCTACTGTGTGATAGTGATGTAAAAAAGGGGCAGTTGAACAGCTCAGGCAGGCTAGAAAGACCCATATGACAGGCTCCTTACCTACAGACACTGTTGCCTGCCCTCATTGTCCTAGATCTGTCAGGGCCTTCACTGGGATAATAAGTCACCTTGGAACTCACAGAACTCAACTATAGTGTCATGATAGATGAAAGAAAGAGTGGTACTCATCTGTTGTGATGGATGAACAATGACACTGATGTATTCAGAAGATTGCATATATAAGCTAGCATATTGGTGTGTCATGAAAAGTACGGTGACATCTGTGTTGTAGTGAAGGACACCCCAGAAGTGCTCACCCTGATGGGTACTCAATCCAAGTATTTGCCACACCATGGTGTGCTTCCCATCCTCTGCCATACGGAGGTGCAACTCAGATTTTCCTTTTAATGTGTTGTAAAATGATGGTGGCATTTCTCAAACTCTAATTTTAAGCTTAACAATGTTTGTCTGACCTATTATTGTTTTTTATTTATTTTCTTAACAGTACTGAAAATCTCATTTATGTTGACATCTTTTTATCTCTCCAGGTGATAGTGTTATATCTGCTCTAAGAAGTCGCCAGAATCCATGGTGATGACAAATAGGACGAGCAAGACCTGCTCATGCTTAGAAATTCAACTGTGGTCAGGGATGAAATTCCTCCTCTTCACAACACAAAACCTGGACAGTATCGTAGAGACCATAATCTACAGATTGTCTATGAATTCTACCATAAGCTATGTATTAATGTGCCATGACATTCGACCATGTGCATGTTGACTTACCAAATGATATTCCCCTGGACAGATGCTCTTGATCATTTTGAGGAGAACCAGAACTGGTCGCCAGACATCTTACTGCCCTGACTAATGACCTCACACAGGCTGGGGACTGTAACAGTTCATATTGAGATACACAAGAATATACACGGAAAATGGTTAAACCATTATCATGTAAAATTTTAAATAAAACATCCACAAAACTGACATTCATAAACATACAGCATCATACAAACATAAATATGCATGCTTATCCACATACAGGCACCCTAATTTATCTCTAAACACCTTAACATCATGTGCAACATGTCTATGTTAACCCACACCATCACAGATCAACACAACAACACAGCCATGCATTTACAAACATACACATAAACATATATATCCACATCCTCCAAAGTTCACAGACAATGAAATTCAGCCATATACGCTTTCACACCAAAAATACACTCAAGTATACACATCCTCCCTATGTCTGTTCCTGGACTTTATTATTGGAGAACAAACGAATATGCCCACTGCCTCATCCACCACCCCCCCCCCCCCTTTCCTCCTCCTCCTCACCAAAAAGCATGTTGAAAGAGGCGACTAATATTGAGTGTTTCCTTTGATGTCAAAGTCGAGGAACCAACAGTCAGTATACGAATAAGCAAAATCTGTAAAATGGATATGCATGCGAAACTCAGGTTCTGTGTTTAATGTTTAAATAAAATTGACAACACAGGCCTCAGGACATTCCCACAAGCGCAGAGTTCCAATTTCAATTATACCAATAGCAGTCTGATTTCCCTCATAAATTATTCCTAATTTAGTCTTTTATGCTTCTGCTGCACACTGCTTGAGCTCTTCTACTTTTTCTTTTTTAATCTTTTCTGCCCTCCTGTGAGGTGACTATCACACCTTCAGCTATTGTTTAACTACTGCTTTCTTTTCTTTCCATGCCTGTTTAACTTCTTGGGTCCATCATGGAGGCTGCATAAATGTAGAACAGGTTGTTCTTTTACATGCCTTCTGCCTAAGGCGTCCAAGTAAGGGGCCCTCTCATACTTAGCATTCTCACAGCCCTGATCTTGCTAGCTTTAGAAATCAAGAAGGGTCATGGCATATGGTCGCTACCAGGGTCACCAAGGACACTCCATTTTTCTCCAGCACTGCTGACTGGGTAAAAAACTACAAATCAGTACCTGTGTCTCCATCACCAGGTCTCATTCTCACTCTAGTTGACCTAATAGCATTTATGCAGACTATTTCTGAATCAACCATGACCTCTGCTCGGGTATTTCCTTGTCTATTTTTCTGTGTACTGTCCCATGTTCTGTTCTACGTATTAAAATCTCCACACGTGAAAAGCCAGGGATTCCCTATAACTCTGAGCCAGTCCCACTGGTCTTATGTGACAAGAGAGTCAAGAGCAGCATAAACATTTACTAAATTCTAAGTCATGCCCTCGTTATCTATCTGTATTTCCATAACCTCTGTTGTACTATGATTCCACTGGCCCAGGTACATACTTCACTCTATTCTTCACCAACAGACAATGCCCATGTCTTCCTCATCAAGTAGGATTTATACAACTGGTGTATTCAGGACACTCAAATCTATCTGTATTTAATTCTGGAAGCACAAGAATCAAAATCATAATCAAATTCCCCAGTATAGGCCGTCTCTGCTTGATTCTGTAACATGCAAATGCCTAGAAGTGGACAAACAACTAGAACTTTTTGCCATAATTTACAGCTTCTGAACGCAAAAAAGAAAAAGATAACATCCAAACAAGCAAGCCCACTTGCACAATTATGTCATTTCAGCACGGACTCAGACACCGGATGAGAAAAGAATGAAAACTACCTGTTCTTTTTTTAAAGGTGCATGTGTGCTTTTCCTGTCCCTACTATGGCTCTGCCAGCAAGCCAATCCGCTAGTTCATTCCCTCTAGCCCCAGTGTCCTAGCAGAAAAATTATACTGATTTCTGTCATATAAGATTTCCTTACTGACTTCAACCATTTTCTTCAAATCCATCTTGTCTCAATCTTCTTCAACATGCTCATGGAATCACTTATAAAGCATGCATAGGCCATTTTTTGGGGTCTCTAGCCATATCACTGCTTCTGTTACTGCCATCACCTCCATGGTCAGACTACTTGTAGTTGAGGCAAAAGTACCGCTTTCTTCTTTTACAATTTCCCCTCAAACTACAACCGTGAAAACCCAAGAGCTTTGTACGTGTCCAACGATGGATACGTCGGTGTAAAAAACTGCACTTCTGTCAGCAGAATTTTCAGGAATTAAAGCTTGAACTTCTGCCTCAACCACCAACAGGCTTTTTTGTCTGCATTCTTTATCCAGTTTTATGCTACTAAAGGATAAGCCAAAAGAAATAAGACATGGGCTATCTTCTGAATAATGGTCCTAAATTATCGAGGCAGAAAATATACCCTAACAGGGCCTCAGTCACGTGTCAATTGCGCACTTCCGGCGACTTAAATTGCGCACTTTCGGCGACTTTCGCCGCCGTCGAGAGTATCCCCCACGCCGCTCACGTGGCGTGGATTGGGGATAAACTTGATGGCTGGGACTCACAAGCGGCAGCTACCGCATTTCCTGTAGCTGCCTTTTTATTTGCTCGTGAGTCCTAGCCATCTAGTTTAGCCCCAATTCCCGCCGCGTGAGGGTCATGGGGGATACACTCGGCGATGGCGGAAGTTCCCGGAAGTTCGCAATTCGGCGGCGGCGGTTTAGTTCCCGGAAGTACGCAATTGACACGTGACTGAGGCCCTGTTAAGGTATATTTTCTGCCTCAATAATTTGGGACCGTTATAATATTCGGAAGATAGCCAAGAAATGATTTCAATAACCAATCTCAACTGAAGAATAGAGACTGAAGAATACAATTTTTTTTTTAAAGGAAGAAATCACAATGGAAAAGATAAACGAAATACTGAAAGACAGAAACTGAACATAAAGAATATAACAGTAATAGTTAAAAGTAATAACAGTATTGATAATTAAATAACGAGTAAGTTCCAACCAGTGTCGGAGTTGGAAGGTGAAGAAGAGGGAAACAGAAAAACAAGTTTTTTTTTAGTTTTTTTAAAGAAAGCAATAGAGGGGGAAGCATAAAAAATAAAATTACAATATACTTTGTATACATGTTAAACCAGGGGAAAAGCTGCAACGAACAAAGACAATATCGGTTATAAATCCAAAAATAAAAGTTACCTTCCTGACCAGAGTCGACATTCTGTGATGTTAGCAGACGACAACAACACGTCCAGATTTTCTCTCAGCTGCCGTCTTTAATCCGATATTTATTTGTCTGGAGTGGTAAAAGCAGTTTTCACAAACATATTTTGTTCAGTTCTCAGAGTTATAATTGGGATTTACAGTGTTCACTGATTTCTCACAGTATATATTTGTTATTTCCTTTATCATGCACTCGTTTATTTAAGAAATGTATGCAATCTGTATTACTTTTTGAAATATTGTCCTATCCTCATATCTGTTAAATCTCGCATATTTCACTTAAACAATATATTATCACATGAACAATAGGTTTACATAAGTGTGATATATTGAAAGCCAGAATAATGGTATCTTATATCACTTTGAATGTTCACAAAACATAAATTACAGCGTACGATTATCTCAGTTATATAGCAAGCACATTTAAAATCTTCACATTTTAACAATTTATACTTCCAGTCCAGTTATATAGCAAGCACACTTAAAATCTTCACATTTTAACAATTTATACTTCCAGAGTCTGTTACAACTAACACACATAACCTACATACAATTAAATTAAAAAAAAAAAAAAAAACACACAAAAAAAAAAACAACAACCTTACAAGCATAATATAAAATATCGAAAAATGTAACAAAAGAAACATCTATATACATCCAAATAATAACCCCGATGAGTTGAACCAAAAACCTCATCCACCACACATCTACAAGGAAACCAAAACAGCGCTAAAGCAGTCTTTCAAGCGGGAGTGGAGATGGCAGAATGGAGATTACAGACCAGAGAGTGACAGCATAAACAAACTCAACAGGAAAGAACAAACAACAGTTTTTAGACTTCGGACTAGACACTGTGGTCTTCGAGCACACCTGTACAGAATAGGCATAAAAGAATCTGCTGCCTGTGATTGTGGAGCAGAAAGACAGACCCCTGGGCACATACTACAGTACTGCCCTTACGTCTCCCAGCAAAGACTGTGGATCTGGCTCAAGGGAGCCACATTGAAAGAGAAGCTATGGGGGACAGGTGGCGACCTTAAACGCACAATCCTATTTGTGACCCAGACGGGACTCAATGTTTAGCATGACTGATGCCGAACGCAGAAGAAGAAGAAGAACCAAAAAGCGTTGTTTAAATTACTACAACTTCTACTGTCCGATATTTATTTACGTTTTATATCTTTTATGTACTATTTAAAGTATAACAGCAACAAATCATATAACCTATGCTTTAATAACAGTAATAGTTACTTGAACTCATGTATTCATTTAATGTAATGTATATAAAAGAATATTTCTTACCAGTCAAGGTTCTAACTTGAATTGGCCTGCTGCACGCCAAATCTGGAATAAAGGGGGTTTGGCAGAAACCAAAGTTCAAAGTTCAAAGTCTGTTTTACGTAAACATGGACTTCAAGTCGGGACAGATATATTGTTGAATGAATGAATGAGTGAATGAATGCAAGAATTGACATCATTGTAGTTTTACTGAATAAAGATTCCACAATTCTTAAACATTGATAAGGTATGAATTGTACAGGTTTATTAAACGCAGAAATGTATTGAACACAGCATATATGTTCTGAGCAAAAGCGAATGAGTGTCGCTCAGTGCAACAAAGGCTAGTTCAATATTTAGTTTGAGAATTGAGGTAGAGGCAGTCGCTGCAGCCTTCCGATGGATGAAGAATCAGCTGTACACCCGTACTGTAATTATAACTGACTCATAGAGCATGTTGAGAAAGGTGGAGACAGGTATTCTCCCTGAATAGTGGCAAGCATCGCTTCAGAGGTCCTAGGTAGTTTGTGTTCTTTGGATATTTTCTTCTGGTAATGTTAGGAAATGAATAGATAGATAAACTGGGTGGTTCTTCACAACTTGATGATGAATTGATACCCGTCACACCATTTTCTGACACCTACATACAGGTGATAAATAAAATTAATGTGGGTGGACAATCATCCTGTCCGGGATCCATTAAAATTAACACTGCCATCGTGCGAGTTAGACGCCATTGAATGCACTTCCCAACGATGCTTACAACAATGGTCATCCTAGACATGACTCATCCCGAGTAGTCCAGGGTTATTTTGAAGTCTCCTGACTTCCCGTCGTATAATGCATCTGTATATCTGCGATCCCAGCCAAGACACTTTCTGAAAAACAGCGCAGCATAAAAAGCACACACAAATGTGGCTGGTGAGACACATTCACAAAACCGCTAAGGACAGTGCAACCCCTCAAGTGCAATTTCCCTTAATGTACAATGTTCCTGTAAACTTTGAATACCTTCAGTGAATACTCACATGAACTTGTCTCTTATATTTTCTGTACGAGACGGCATTTGCTCGGGGCCTCAAGATAAAAACATTGACCATTTGATGCCCTACATAAAATACTTGTGGGTTACTGTACAGAAGCATTGATAAACATTTATCTTCTGGAGGAATTCGTCATTTAGTGATCTCTCTCTCTCTCTCTCTCTCTCTCTCTCTCTCTCTCTCGCTCTCTCTCTCTCTCTCTCTCTCTCTCTCTCTCTCTCTCCTTCTCCTCTTCTTTGTCTCTCTCAGTTTTTTTCTTCTTTTTTTCCTTATGTGTACATGTAACTTTCCCTCTCTGCTTTGACGTGTGAGTGCTTGCGAACTGTTAATTATTATTAATTGTTGTCACAACTATTACTAGTATGTTTAAGTGTATGTATGCATTTTTGCACGACAAAAGAATTTTATTTATAAATTTATGCTGGAACATAAGGCTAATGGCATTTGAGAGAAACATGATAACTTTTGTACACCATTAACACACGCGTGTGAGCATGTAGAGAGTCTGTAGTCCAGAACCCAAGTTAAAGGTGTCTCCTTCGTGCCAAAGAACTGCATGGTTGTGGGGTGCACAATCGTTAACGAAGGCAGTCAGGTCATACAGGGGCGACACCTTGCTGATGGGCGCTACGTCCCTGGCCTCTTCCCCAGCACAAGGGCACCACTGGGTTGACAGTTAATAAACCCTCACTACTTCCGATCAAAATGGACGCTATTCACGTTTTTGTTGTGAGTTGTGGCAAAATGTTTTGCTTCTGCCAGACGGGTACCCGTGCATTTTTGCTCCATTTGTAGACTGAAAGGATAATTTCGTCTACCAGCTTCTGAATTCAGTGCATGGCGTGACACTGTGAACTGCTGATTTCATTTGGAATGCTTTTCTACTGTGACCAACGTGGTGGTGTGAATTGTAGATTCAGAAAATGAACGCGATGCCTGTTGTCGCAATATTGGCGGTGCCATTATGTGATTAAAATTGATCGCGTGGGCAACTGCTGATCTGTTGGTGACTTCTGCTACCATCCACGATGGTCGGACTGTTTGTGTTAGCACTTTGGATGGCTACCGTATGCTTTTAATGCGTGTGTATGCTAGTGCATATGCTGAGACAGCAGTCTGCCAATCTTTCCACAAGGGACTGTGATAAACATTCTGTGTGTTTTTAGTTGGCACAGGAGCGGAGCAACTATGGGGTGACCCGTTTGCTATGAAGCTGAAACTAAGATTACCGGAATACCAGATTACTGGACTCACGTGAAACAAAAAACAAAACAAAACAAAAATCTGTTTCTATAACTTATACTTTATTCTAACCATTTTCTAAATTTTCCTTAAAAAAATATCCTTCCATTGTCGACATTTAATTTCATTTTACATATACTATAGATTTATTGGTATTTATCATTGAATAAAACTTTATCTCTCATGCCGCTAGCCTGCTGTCATCCAATAAAACTCAGATACATGGTTGACTTCACAACAAACTATACGTTGCACATAACTTTTACATAGCTCTGCTCAATCAGAAAATAGGAAATAAAAACCGCAAATTTTATGTTACAGAATAACTTTTCGAAACAGTGAAGAAAAATGTAATGTTAAAAGAAAGTTACATCTGAAAATAATTAAGATTTAAATATACATTATAATTGTCAAGAAATAATACGATGCAAAATAAAATAGATTAACAATACATAAAACACATAAAATTTAACACAGATTCGACTAATTAGATAGTCAAATATACGTACAATAAATAACATACGACACAAATTAGTAAGGAATCAAAAATCAATTTTAACATACATGTAGCTATGTTCGTAGTACGTCAAGTGATAATATTTCATTCAATGTTATTCCACTTTCACACATCTCTCATAATTTAGGGATGTCGGTGCTTCTGTGGCTGGTGTCCAGATCCGTTCTAGATGATGAATCCAAAATTGTTGAAATTTTCAAGAAGAGATAATTTAATCTTCTCTATATATCTATCTTCTTTTACCCCACCAGGACATCACACAAGCGATAAGCACCCGATGACACAAAGTGCCACCATCTGGATGAAGATCACCCGTGGAGAGGTCCCAGAAACCGCGATCAGCCATATTTATGGCCTGGTTATATTCCGGCCCACGACAAGAGCCAGGGTGGGGCTTCAAAATAATGAAAAAATGCACCCCACAAGGGGATGACTAGATTGCTACAAATTTAAACTGTTAGATTTGGGCATTTTATATGTTGAATACTGAAGTGTTTTCTGGATCATAAATGTTCAGGCTGACTTTGACATTAACACTGGCATACATACTGTCTTCTTCTTCTTCTTCTTCACTTCCTCTTTTACCGCTGTGGGTGTCGAGGGTGATATAAGGTTCTGTTTCTAGCTCTTCTGGCCGCCTCGACCATAGGCACATCGTGCTGTTGTAGAGTTTCTCTGATGTTATCCTTCCATCTTGTTCTTGGTCTACCTCGTGCTCTACGTCCTTCTTCTCTTTCTATGTATGCTTTGTATGGTATGGTGACACAAGGCATTCTCTCTAAGTGGGCAAACCATTTCACTTGCTGTCTTTGTATGTAATTTAGAATTGGTTATGTGCCGACTTTTTCTCTTATGATCTCATTCCTGATCTTATCTCTTATGGTCACTCCCACAGCCCTTCTCAGACATCTCATTTC